AGGGTTGGGTGGGGGTAGGGTTAGGGTTAGATTGAATGTTATAGTTAAGGTAATGGTTAGAATTAGGGTTAGGGTTAGATTGAATGTTATAGTTAAGGTAATGGTTAGAATTAGGGTTAGGGTTAGATTGAATGTTATAGTTAAGGTAATGGTTAGAATTAGGGTTTGGAATATGGCCAGGCAACCATAACTGTAATCCTCTACTAAGTCTATGTTGGTCTTCTTGGACCTGCATTGTCTCATTGTTCATTGGAATTTCTATTTTGTCATTGTTGGCTCCATTTATTCAATCAGTTAAGTGCAAATTTTGATTTAATATATAAAACATGTGAAATTGCACACCGTATATTGCATATACATATAAGGGTACAAATATAACATACAATAACACTTCTAACCATACACATATAATAATGCAAATACCTACAATACATATAACAATAATGTGCGGAGTTAAGGTTAGGTTAAGATTAGGCGATTAAGTTAAATTAAATTGAAAATAAGTTAAATTGAAAAAGTTAATTAAAAAATGTTAATTAAAAAAGTTAAATTAAATTTTAAAAAAGTTGTTGTTGTCGATCACGCATCGCTAGGTGGCATCTTAACAAACAAGGCGACTTTCAACAGCAAGCCGTCCAGTTCGCACCCAGGCACGAGACACCCCACCGAGGATTTCGTCCACGGTGAGCCGAAAACGCGTCCGAAAATATCTCCATACGAAAAATGCTGTACAGTATATGCTAAATAACTTCCCGTAAATACGCCGTGCCCATAGATAGCATGCACGCTTAACATTTTCTGAAATTTTCGCCCTGGTAGAAATATTTGCTTGGGCCCGCGCGGTTCATCGTATATCACACAGACGTGTATAGGCCCCTATGCCTCTCTCGACGCGCACACAGTCTCTATACGACATGCTAGGCAAGCTCCTACGTGCGTGCTCCTAGCATGTGCTACTAACGCAGATAAGGTCTATGTCCTCCTGACCTCTGTTTGACCTGGCTCGTTTAGCTATTTCTGACTAATATATATATATATA